TTGCGGACTCCCCAAATGCTTGCTTTAGCATTTCATAGGTTTCCGTAGCCGTTTTGGCGAGTCTTTGGCAAGAGATTCAGGCAGAATCGCAGATGGTGCTTGACAGGCTGACAAAGAAAGATTTCCAGGGATGCTTCCAGGCTTGGCAGCGGCGCTGGGATCGTTGTGTTCACTCCCTGGGGAACTACTTCGAGGGTGATGGATGAATTTAATACCTGAGATAAGTGTACGGGTTTTTATAGGCGCAGTCTTGAAACTTTCCGATCGCACCTCGTATATGGTAAAATATTTTGTGTGGAATCCTGGCTTCCTTGGACACCTGTCAGAATAAAATGACTTTTCTCTCCTGCCTCCTTTCACTATTATAAGTCACACAAAGTCTTACCAGGAAAACTAGGATAGAACTAGTGCAAAGAAGAAGGCTTGAATGATATGCTAACACTGTTTACAAGCCTCAGTTTGACAACAGATCACATAAAAAATTTGTAAAATACGTGGCGGACTCAGTCCGACATCGGACCGGAACTCGGATTTTTAAATGTCGGATTCAGTCCAACATAGGACCGCAAGGGTTAAACAAAGTTTAAATAAGTAATTATTAAAATGACAGGAAACCATCCATCACAAAGCAAATGGTAATGACCGAATAAAAATGTCATTTTCCCCATTTGGAAACTCAATCCTTTGCGAAGATGACAGCAACTTTTACGAAATTTAAGATAAATTCTCAAATATAAAAATGTTAAGCATTCTCACCATTTATTTTTAGTGGTGTCTCTGGACCAGATGTTGTAGGAGCAGTGCCAGATTGATCTTCCTTTGGTCTAAGGATTGGAGATGATGCAGCAGCAGCAGCTGGAGTCAGTACAGTAGGGACAGGAGATGGTGCACGATCTTCACTTGGACTAGTGGTTGTGGGTGCAGTTCCACCACCTCCCAATGGGATGGGGCCAAAACCTGAACAATAGAATAGCATGGATACAACAGTGAAATGATTCTCTGAAGGTTTGTTATAATGACTGAATCATGAATGTTATGTTAGACACTGTCCACTGTCTGAGGAATTTAGATAAACCAAATATTTTGGAAGGATGGAAGGATCCTGTTCATAATATGTCGCCAACCTTCTGTAAAGGAGACGGTGTAAGAAAGAAGAAGAAGAATAAATATTTTGGGAATTGACTATTCCATTTTCAAGTAATGGCTGTCATCAGCCCAGCAGTCTAATTATTAGTGTATTAACCCAGAATCCAAAAGGTCCTCAGTTTGATTCCAACTTTCACCACTAACATCATAAATATAAAAGTAATGACAAATCTGTCAGTATAATGATAACCAATTTCTTAATTACAAGAGCAGAGCCAACTCTCAATACACTGTGTACATCAAACAAATCTCAAAAACTAGATAATGTTGAATTTAACATTTGTATAAAGAAATGAAAGTTCATTGCTGCTATTTAAGGTAATATCTAAACACATAAAGACTTAAGGTTATGAACAAATAATTTTTAATTATAGTTCACAATTGAAAAGGTCCCAGAAAAGTAATTTCTCACATATTTTGCTACAAATGGAAATGCAGCATGTTTAAAATGTAGTTTTAATACAGTAAAACATATTTATGTTACTAGAATGTATATTGTCCCATAAATTACTAATTTTATTCAGTCCATTAATTTTCCTACCACATCAATGTGTTTCTTCCCACCAATTACATAATTTTATTTGAGTTTACCTCTT